ACCTCACGCGCATGCACGTGCTCTTTGCTCTGATTGGCTGAAACTAAAGTCTCAATATCTTTCTTGTTTTTTGACAAACTTCTTTGAAATTTTGAACATAGCCATGCATTAGGATATCCTACAAGAAGATATATAGGAATTATCATGAAAACACGTGCATGCACATGCGCTGCAATCTGATTGGCTTAAACTTTAAATAGCTATAACTCCCTTGGTTTTCAACCAAACAGGATGGGATTTGGAACATAGATAGATATAATGAACTTCTACAAGAAGGTATGGTCACCATGCACATGCATACACGTGCGTGTACGTGCGCTGCAATCTGATTGGCTGAAACTTTAAACAGCTATAACACCTTTGGTTTTCAACCAAACGGGGTGGACTTTAGAACATAAATAGATGTAGTGGACTTCTACAAGAAGGTATGGTCACCATGCTCATGTATGCACGTGCGTGCACTTGAAATGAGTAAAATCAAAAATACACTTGAATGAGCGTATCTTTAATACTTTTGGATTAAAAACTTTAATATTTAGTATATTAAAATATATAGATGTAGACAAGATGATATGGTCATCACGCACATGCATTCACATGCGCACGCGTGCAATGCTTAAATTTGAATTAACTTAGTACACGTCTGGGTAAACGTTGTTAACGTCTCAAATACATAGAGTTTGTCTTATTTAATAAAGCTTACAATTATTATGGCACCAAAAGGGAGTTGGGGAGCGTTTGGGGAACATCTGTAACGGTCCCCGTTACAATTAGCACTAGTTGTATATTGTCATTGTAAATTGCAGCAGTAAGTTTTTTAGAATTATTTTTATTTCCTGAAAAATTAAAGAAATTAATTAAAGAGTAATTTTTATTCAAATCTTGCATGTTAAATCTTACCAGGTCATAATTAATTCTTTCGTAGTAAGCATGTTTATATTCATCCATCCATACTTCTGCGGTTCGAACTGCGTTTTTCCGCAAAATCTCGACAAAACTTTTGCCCCACTTGTATGGACTGACGGCTCTGAATATGTGAGCGACGTGAGAACAGGGGTGGATCTCAAGACTCCCGCCACACATCCAAATCTACAGGGAAAAGGTATTATGTCTGATTTTGTCATAGACATACATGTATTGGCTTCCTTCAATTTGTAAAATATTTGGTTAATATTTGGTTTACTATCCAATTCAATCCAAGTTATTTGTTTCAAAAGAAAAAAAAATGTGCAAACAATCCTACTACTGATGGTATTTATATCTTTAGAAATATTTTTTTTATCACTAAGAAGCTTTGCTCTGCGAGTTTATTTGGAATCGAAAATAATCCTGTTTTTTTATTATGAATTTCTTGGTGATAAATCTTCACAAGCATTATAAGGCAACTGAATTTTTAACTTAACTTTTTTACATCACTCGTTATATAATTATTCATGTTTAATTATAATTAAAGTCTCGTACATACGAACACCTGTATGTGAGGGGATAATAACCTACCCTGAATGATATTTCCAAGTTCTCTCCACCCCAGATATCCATTCCGTGGTCATACGTGCCCATCTTTGAGAAGTAGTCTCGGCTGATGGAGAACAGTCCACCAGCGATTGTGGGTGTCCTTAGAACACGTGACAAAATGACAAAAACTTAGAAGGTAATTTAACTACTAGAATATGGAAATTTTCAGATTTGTGAAATTTCTTTTTTAAAACTACATATGCAACTGACTGAATTTTTCTGAAATAATGGTTTTTGATACATGCATATAAAAAAAAAAGAAAGTCTTGTGCTTGTTTAATGATATTTTCGTTCTATCTTTTTTCTTTAAATTCGAGCGCTCCATTATAAATTCCTCTTTGTCTAGTTATACATACCGGTATATTAAAGCAATATGAGCTACAAGATTGACAAAAGAAAATTTTGTTGCAAATTTGTAATCAACTATTTTCAAGACAGAAAAATAAAACATTTATAAACTTCTGTTGATCATATTTGTGATGTAACTTTTTATAAGCTTTTGATTTAAACAAAATGACATTATTGTCATCCTGTACATAATTGATTTCTTACATAATGCTCCATATTTGATTGTACAGAAATATTTCTTCTGAAACAATTAAAATTTTTATTTAGGTTTTATTAATCATTAGGGTTTAAATCACGTATAAATCAATCATAATAACACATTTTAATGGCAAAATAATTTTTCTCAAAATGCAGCTCATATTGCTTTAATATAAATCGAACAAAACTCCTCACCTCCAGGGCATTATCTGACTGTGTTTTTCCTTCTCTTCTCTGGGTATGGTGAGCCACTTATACCCCATAATTGAAATATCAAATGTTCCCACTGCTCCTATTTCTGACCCTCCACAGGCGAACGTTTGATCACTTATCATATCTATTATAGGCGCAACGATCCTTGTATGATTTTCTGCAATTCTCTCCAGCAAAGGATCAAGCCAGCCTTTAACAACAAAAATAAATAACTAATTCTTGACACTTAGATTCTTGAAAATAATTTAAATTAAATAAGATCAATGGAAATGCACGGAGGGAAGGAAAAGTAATTTAGCTCAAAAGTCCATTGAATTTATATAAATCAGGAGAAGTGCAAACATGGACCTCATAAAACTTAAGAGTTGGGATCAGCTGCCATGGAGAATTAAGCATTCCCATATTATATATAATATATTTTGTTCCGTGAACAAACTATTTGATAAAATGCGAATAGTTGTGTAAGAGATGAGTGATAGAGGCAAGAGAACTTATAGAAGAGGACGAAATGTTATATCATATTGTATCATTTTTAGACTGATCGGATAGTGTATAATCTTAGCTATGGCAGTCATACCTACAAAACATTCGATATGAGAATCTAGAAATGTCAGAATTTCACCGGTGGCCGCCTCATAACCTAAAAGCCGTGCTCGGATCAAACCCTCTCGCTTAGCTGTTCTTAATACACGGACTTTCCCAGATCCTTTCTCTGAGAAATACTCATCTAGCTCCTCTTTAAGAAAATCTAAAAATAAAAACCAAAAATAAATATTCTTGATAATGCTGTATCATATCTTATTTTTGAATCCTTAAATAATTTAGATTTATTATAATTGAAATTGAACGAAATTTTAAGATAAAATAACATAACTTCATCATTCATCTGATTTATTTAGAGAAAATCTTCTTACCTAAATCAGAAAAATCGTCCACTAATATGATTTCATGAATAAGATGTAATGGTGTTCGGTTCAAAATGCTGTGAACTGTGCGTAGTAATACGGACCAAGCCTCGTTATGAAAACAAATGATGATGCTAGTGGCAGGTAGATCCTTAGGATATTTCTTAAGCTTGCAGCTGTATCATAAAACAATTAATATATAATAGTTAAAGCTTTTCATTTGTATGACAAAACTATACTGTGTCATAGAAAATTGTATACATGTACATATTTTCAATAAAGATCTTATAAATTTGTACGTATTGTGGTTACCATCAATGTAATATAATTATCCAAATGGAAGGAATGTTCGTATTAACACGAAAAAAATCCCTCTTTTTAATGCCTGTTCGGCCTAAAGTTTCATTAATAAGTAAAATTGTATGTTCATCTTTTTTTGTATTAGTACGATTAAGTACCTTGGATTTCTTATGTCTGGTAGCCTCCTATGGTAAGATATCATATCACTGGCGTACTGGTTGAAGGAATTCCTCTTGAAAAGTTCGTCATAAATCTTCTGCTGGTCTGGACGGAGTTCTTCTTTCTTTATTTTGACAGGATGTCCATATTCACCTGAAAGTCTCGAAACAATATTTTGCAAAAATTTGTAGACAATATTGCAAATATATTACACAACTATATCAATTTAAAAACTTTACAGGTAAACCAAAGTATCTCAAACAAGACAAGGCAGGTAAGATATCCAAGTGCTCGAGATATCAAAGGTAGGGTTTTACCCTGTTTACATGTACAATCATCTGTTGTTTGCTGAATTTATGAGATTGGAGGATTTATATATACCTGGTGCAAGTGGTGGAAGAATCTTCTCTAGATGACGAAGTCTTTCTCTTTCCGAAACTTTACGTCGACTCTTCACTTGGATCTTATCTTTCTGTTCAATTTGTTTTGAATGTTCTTGCAACATTTTTGGCGATAGATGTAAGCTGCTGTTCGCTTTTGAAACATTTGTCGCTGTATTAAGCCTTAAGTTTTTATTTAGGGTTGTTTTACTTGCACTGCTTATAATGGGATTGTCTGTAGATTTTTTCTCCAACCTTTGATGTGCAAGTTCGTCTCTCCATTTTTTCAAAATTTCTTTTCGTTTCTTTTTCTCATTAAATTTGATCCACGATGACCTATTAAAATGTGATCTTGTAAATCGATCACGGAGCTTCATAAAATCATCTGCTCTTTTTACAATGTTGAATTCAGCTAACTTTGGATTTTCATCTTTAGTCCTTGTTTTGTTAATTTCACTCTCAATATCAAAAAGGAATAATGTTACAAATAACCATACTGAGGACACAAGGAAAATAACAGCTAGAAGTCTTGTTCGTATACTCCTAGCCATTTTCTTCTCGTTTGATGATTCCAAAAATTACTTGATCGGTCATAGGAATCAGCTTGCTCTGAAAGAAGATGAAAACCGTGTTGAATTATCTTCTTTTATTCACTCGAAGTGGTATCATCTTTAAAATGAATAAATGTATATAAAATGTTCAATCAGGACTTTTTGATCCACTCAGTGGGGAAAAAGCACAGGCTAAAACGATGCCAAACGAAGATAATGCCAAATAGAACTTTTATTATTTCAGCGTGATTACAATTTATTCAGTTACATCTTTTTTTATTTAATTTTATTAATTTAGTATTTGATAGCATGTTGTTTTTTTCTTAGCAAAATCGAATGTCGATACACAACTTTATTTACCAAACATGGATATAGGGATTGACCTCAATAAATCTCTATTCAAAATCATTTTGTAGGGTATTTTAACCCACCCATATAAAAAGCATTGAATCAATGTTATCTACTTGCAGACATTATATTGAAGAGACAAAGGACAGTACTCACTACTTATGTTTGTTATACACTGCTATGCCCCCATAATTTTTACGTAATTTTTTTCTTAATTTCTTGAGTTTAAACTAAAAAAAAATCACTCTGACATTTAGAAAAAAAACCGAATGATTAGAGAGAAAAATAGAAATAACTCTGGTAGCGAACAAGAGATAAATAAAATGCCTTTTTACGTAATTTTTTCTTAATTTCTTGAGTTAAAACTAAAAAAAAATCACTTTGACATTTAGAAAAAACCGAATGATTAGAGAGAAAAATAGAAATAACTCTGGTAGCGAACAAGAGATAAATAAAATGCATTTTTATATAAAGTTACCTGAACGAGTTTGAAGATATATCCATCTTTGCGCCATTGATCAGAAAAGATCCACGCGTTCAGAAATTGATCTTTGCCGGACCATATGTTACTTCTCGCTATATGCATTTTGAATGGACTCCGACAACGTGTTCCATACACTAACATTAAATGGTTTACACCATTTACCCCAAACACTATCTATAAAGAAAAGGGCTGTGGTTATTTCTGATTATGACATAAAATACCTTTCTAATACTTTAATTTCTAAATCATGTAAATGGTAAATCAATACATGTAATTAGTAATGTGATTCTTAAAAGTCTATAAACAAATACTTATACGAGTTCTGCTTTTAAGATTAAGGTATGCATATTCCTTTCCAGAATTATTTACTAACTTTCTGTATTTCAAAAGTAAGATTATATAGATACTTACGTCTTTATTTATCTATCGTATATATTTGAAGAATCGTTGTTCTTCGTATGAGAAAATGCAACCATGAAGTTAAGAGTGTAATGAAAAACAAAAAGAATTGTTTTAATAATATCCTAGAAAAGATTATGAATAATTATTTTGCTCCGCTTCTATTTTGTATACCGTTCACGGTAGCCTAGTGGTAGAGCGTTTGCTTCGTAATCGAGAGGCCCGAGTTCGATTCTCGTTCGCGGCGCCGCGTCAAACCTAAGACGTAACCATAGGTAATAACTGTCCCTTCACCAAGCGCTTGGCATTAGAATTGAAAGTCACGGGTCTTTCGGATATAACCTTAAAAACGTAGGTCCCGTGTCACGGTAGGCGCTGGCACGATAAAGAACCCTCACTGCTCAATGGCAATGAGTGCCGAGTATAGGTCTAAATTTGAAGCCCTTCACCGGCATTTTGTGACGTCTCCATATGAGTGAAAAATTCTCGAGAGGGAGGTTAAACCATATACAATCAATCAATCAATCAATCAATCTATTATGTATTATTTTATGAACTTCTGAGCTTGAACACTGTTCGTTATTTCCATATCTTTCTTGGCATTATAATCATGTAAAAAACGTGTTTTCTGATTACCTTCTAGTTATGTTATCTGATGATTGAATTCAAAGTTTCTTCCAAGAAAATATTATTTAATGTAAAATGGATTATGGAAATTTCGATTGTTCCAGTCATGGTTAATGCTGAAAAAGATATTAAGCTAGGAGCGCAACAGAAAACACGTATTGTTGTCAAACAGCAAATATTCTAAAAAGTTTGTAAAACATATTGAGTGAAAAAAAGTATTTTCAAAATGATATATACAGGGTGTCCCAGAATATATGATACCATTTCATGAATATACATGTATAAATTATAATGTGATAAATATTTAATTTCAACAAATGCACTATAAACATTGCATATCTCTCCAATTTTATTCACAAATTTTTATAGACAATGAAAGGAACACGACAAAATGAGTTCACTTTGAAAAATGGCATTGTTTTTAGCAATTAAATGTCCTATAAATGACGTCCAATCTGGGTAATGATCATGTCTAGACATTGCACAAAATTCCATAACTTAAGAAATCAATGGCTTTTTCATAAGTTGTAATTTAGATTTTCATTTGATATATATAAATCAAAGATTTAAATTTAGGTTTGGTAAGAATATCTTAAGACTGGATTTGATAATTACAATTTTGAAATGAGGGTACAAAGCTCGTTTGATAAATCAATTTTGCTTCAAATGCAATTTTAAGAAATATTTTGACTTTATTATGTGGCTACATAACTCCAACTATGTGAGAATTTTTAACTAAAATTATTTGTCGCTAAAAATTGTATTAACTCAAATATTTATGAAAATGTACATTTATTGTCATTGGTTATCTCCAAGTTGCTTTTGTTCACAAAAGTGCTTCGTAGTTAAGATGCTTGAACTTTTTATATTGACAGTATCTATGAAGGTTTTTGAGATGAAATATTCCAATAATCTGTTGGAATTTTCGTAAATTTTCATACGTACTCACCACCCCATTAAAAGAGAAAATAAGTGAAGGCTATGGAGTATATTTCGAAATGTAGATAGATTGGGAAAGTTGTATTAGCTAACAATATTCATTTTGAATCCTGCATCGAGGCACCCTTTAAATTCGAAATGGAAGACACCATCAAATTTGACGTGCAGTTTTTATAAATGGACAATATACTAGAAAATGACATTAATTTAATTATCAATTTAACTTGCAGTAAAATTTTTATAAAAAACGTTCTGATTTGAATTCTAATTATTAACTTCCCTCATTTATATAGCATAATCAGCTGAAATGTATCACTTATAACATTTTTAGGATATTTCCTTCAGTTGTTTCGATACGTATCAACATTTTGTACGTATCAGCAATTTATGAAAGTAGGGAAGCTAATGACAAAGAAGTAAATTATCTAAGGATATTATCAATTCTGAATAAAGTTAACAGTCGCAAATTCTTAATTTATACAATTACTTTAGCAAATACCATCTATGACTAAGACGTTGAGTTGCGGTTGTGATACAATTTATTAGTCAATATTTTTAACAGATTCTTTTTACTCATTCTTTTTCTGTTTGTCCTACCACAAAAGATCAAGAAAGACAGAAATAAAAACAGATTTTTTTCCAAATTCCAGTGAAATTAGGGTTGGTAATTCTATAGTTGATACAATTATTGTGAATTATATCATCTTTATTCTAACCAAACTGTAAATTAATTTCGTATCATCCATACAACACAAATTAATGAATGTGCACAGCATTGCAAAATGGTATTCCCATGCAGTAATTTTCTAAGCACCGATTTCTAAGAAATTTATTCTCAAATCTATCACCCTACTTCTAATTAATCTGTATATTAATTTCGTATTTACCACACAATACAGAATGATGAATGTAAACAGCATTACTAATGACATATCGATTTCCAGGAAATTAATAAATCTATCACTTTTTAATCTATTTAAATTGTAAATAAAGAAGTGTTTCCGCATGTCAATTCGCATCATGACATAAAATTTACATTGGTATTTGAATTTTGCCAAACCAATTAAATCCAGTTTAATATCTTATGATCAATAACAGCAGTGGACCTTGCATCCTACTTAAAATAAAAGTTCTTCAATTAAATGATCCTCTTCAGTGTTTTGATTTTAGCGGAGCGGATGGTGGGGAAACTTTTACTTGCGAATACAAGCACCAAATTTTTAAGAAAGTTCCCTTGACTATTACTGAAATGAGAAATATCGTTAGCATTCAAGTTTCGGCCAATTTCAAGATGGCCGTCACTTATTTCAAAATGAGGGCTGTGTTAATAATTTTCCTAATATTTAAAATGTTTCATGAATTTCTTGTGAAATAAAACAAGGTAACTTAGTTTGTGACATAGTTTGAGCTCCATTTAAAGCTGTAGCTTTATTAAGGACATAACTTAAATAATCTTCCGAGTAATCGCAGCTGCATAAAACGGTGAAAGGTGAATTCAGACTTGAAGCATTTGTAGTTCCCGGAACAACTTATTTTACACCCACAATTTAGTAGTTTTTGACATGATACAGCGATTGGTGGCAAAGGTCTCCATTGTGGGTCCCAAAATCCGTACCCTTTCTCAACTCCACTGGAAGGTGATGGTGAAGTTTGTCACTTGCATAGTTACTGACCCCATGTATGTCAAGCCTGCAATACAGCTCTCTTAATATGCTCTTCAAGAGCAGCTTTTGAGGGAGGGATGCCATTATATGAAGGCTGCATACGAGCAAATAGATCAAGGCGCACGTCATTTTCAGCTCACCTGAGCCGAAGGCTCAAGGGAGCTTTTCTGATCAAAATTTGTCCGCTGTCTGTCGTCGTTGTCGTCGTCGTTGTTGTTGTCGTCGTAAACTTTTCACATTTTCATCTTCTCCTCAAGAACCACTGGGCCAATTTCAACCAACCAAAGTATCCTTGAGTAAAGAGGATTCAAGTTTGTTCAAATGAAGGGCCACGCCCTTTTCCAAGGGGAGATAATTATGAATTAGAGAAAAATGAATGGCATTTCTCAAGTACCACAGGATCAGGAAAGATGAAAGTCATGTGGAATCATCCTCATGTAGTGTAAATTCAATTTTGTTCAAATTATGACCCCCGGGTTAGGGTGGAGCCAAAATTGCCGATCAAAGTTTTACATAGGAATATATAGGAAAAATCTTTA